AAAAAGGACACGTGAGCTGCATTGCTTAAGAGATCCTCACATGCTATCTCTTTTACAAAATAAGTGTCCAGTCAACAACAAATTTCAGTGATCGTATAGTGGTAGTATATTTTTCACAAGCAATGTGAAACATTAAACTTATACAAACTGGTGTACAAAACTCACATACCTGCGTTGATCTCCTGGAGTGTCTCTACTCTTTCTTCTCCACATCTCTTGTCCACCATCAGAGATTGCAAACATTTCAGAAACAGCTAGAGGTAGGGGACAAACAACTTGTTCGCTGGGCATGTCAAAAACCTCCCTGCTTTGATCAAGACTTTAGGGAGCCTTTAGCCCCTCTAGCAAAGGGACTGGAAAGCAAGCTTTGAAAATGCAGTACCATCTACATGCTGTCATGTTCCAGACACTGCTCTCAACCACTCAGGGCCTGCACACATACCTGCAGAAAGAAACAATTGACTTGGTGCAGGCAGTAGATTACAAAACAGCAGTTGAGAACACACTGAAAAGTTACCAAAGTAACGAGAAAGCACATGAGGTCTATGACAAGACCAAGGCCCTGTGCAATGATCTTGATATTCCCGAAACTGTGACACAGAGGAAGAAGCGTAGAAACATGGAAGACTTTGTAGTCGAGTTATCATGTGGAGCAATGTGAAATATTAAACATAAATAAACTGGTGTACAAAACTCACATACCTGCATTTCAATGGACAGCATCAAAGGACTCGTGAGCTGGGTTCTGGTGCTCAGATTAGCTATTGATGATCACGTTGATAAATCATATAAAAACAAATAGCCAATCACACTAAAAACATGTTGCTGTGACTGTGAGCATTAAACAATTAACATTAAACTAAACAAACACAACAGAACGTTATTGTCCTTATAAAATAAAAACATACATTTTGTCCACCGAGATAATACAGGCACCTTACCCTCAAGAGATCCTCACGTGCTATGAGAGTCTCCCACACTCCATTGCCGTAACAAAGCTTTTTGTTTGTGACACCAGATGGCGCAATTGTGTATGTGCGTGTGGGGAGTCTTGCAGTAGAACATTTGACTGTAGCGCCGCCACTGTGGGCTAAGCCCCGAATGTTTCCAGGTCCAGGCGACGCCCCTGCTCCTTGCCAAGAGAGTTCAGCATGTGAGGGCGGTAACACGAGCAATGTGTCTAAACATTTAGCAAAAGTGCACCACATCCAGACGGAGGAATGCACCGGGTTCGACTGTCTTTCTAGCAGCTCTGCAGCCCCATCCACGAGTAACGTTTCCACGTCAGGTGTTATGTATGCTAGCAGCAACACACGCAGTTAACTCAATGATTCAAACATGGGTTGATGATTAGAGGAAACTGAGTTACTCTTTATTTTGTTAAAGTTTCAGCTATTCTGTTTACAGTTCTGTCATCAGATTATTTAATACGATTTGTTAAAACATTGTTGTTTCTTTTGATGTGAAATATTATTTATTTAATTTAAATAAAAAGCAATGTTAGTTTTGTTCACAATTTGTTAATTTAATAATATATGTATTTTTGAATCAAGTATTCATCTTTATTGTCTTCATTGTTAGTTTCCACATGCCTAAAACAACCTCAAGCTAAATCTAAAAGTTGATGGCTAAACAAGAGGGTTTGAGAAATTGTGCAAGGCATACAGTAATAGTCTGAATAGTCGATTAGTCGTTTCATTAATCGATAGATTAATCGATTATCAAATTAGTCGTTTGTTGCAGCCCTATTATCCCATGTATAAATAAAACGTGTTATTCAGCAACCCTTGCAATTTGGGATTTTATTTTTGGTTGGTAGACCTCGGTGAGCTGGTCATTTCAAAAGTAGCTCACCAGCCCAAAAAGTGTGGGCACCCCTGCCCTAGACCCAAAAGGGAACGTAATACATGGGGGCTCTCGTCCGGGATCTTTAACTAAATTCCTGGGGTTACAGGTGGTATGTAATTATAAATAGTTAGTAAAACGTGTGGGCAGTACACCCAGTTATGGCATTGTTCGACATAGAGGCGTTCTTAGTCCGGCCGTCCTATGAGGAGCTGGACCGGTGTAAAAAGGACGCTTTGATGAAGGTAGCGCGACACTTCAGTCTTGTGGTGAGTCGGCAAATGTTAAAAAAAGAGTTGAAGGCATTGGTGGTGGATGAGATGGTGAGAAGGGAATTACTAGTACTGGCTGTACCAGCTGAGCTCCCAGTGTCCAATGTTGTAACCGAAGACCCGTCAAGTCAGAAGCGGGCGGCGGAGTTTACATTTACCCAAGAAAAGAGTGGTGTGAAGCACCGCTCACGCCGCCTCGCAAATGTCCACCCTCTCCTGTTGGTAGTACAGATTCCCAGAGAGGGAGTAAACTCCAAGTCCGCCTCGCCTGGCTTCAGTTAGAGTCAAAAGACAGGGAGCAGGACAAGCAGCATCAGTTCCAGTTAGAATTAAGAAAGTTGGAAATAGACAAGGAACTGAGAGCGTTGGAAATCGACAAGGAAGTCCGGATGCGTCAGCTGGAGCTAGACTCCGAGCTGCTCGCATCCGGTGCTTTTGGCCGTGTCGGAGAAAGTAAATAAATAGTTAACTGAATACTCGGATGGAAATTGCCTATAAGCACTCGGTAAAACATAAACACACACAAACAGCTTCTGAATGATAAGAAGTATAATTAAAACATAATGCACATTACCATTTTGAGAGAGAGTAGCCTACCTAAATTAAAGAATTCAGAAAATAATCTCTTATCGAACTGAGGCTCCAGTAAAACACACTGACCGCTTCTCTACAGTAGGCCTACATCATGGTGTTTACATGAGCAAAGAGAGATCGGTTATTCATGTTCCCTGTTTACATGATAAATACTAGTAACCTGGCATTTCGATGCCTTTTATGGAGTCAGATTTGGGTCAATATTCTAGCGCGCAAAACAAGCTACTCACGAGTGGGAAATGTGCTTTTACATGCGCATGAAATGACCCCCGCGCGCAAATTAAACCCCCGCGAGCGGCTAGACAGCCCTCTTGCTTGCTCGCGGGAGTGTCAGCCTCACTTGCTCGCGGAGTCTGTCTACCCGCGCGTGAAAAGTTTCTGACACTTTGGGGCGGAGCCACTAGACTTTGATTGACAGCTGCCAGGAAGCCCGGAGTTGCCAGGTTTGATAAATGTCTGAACTACCAAGAGCCGAGGAGTGACAGCTGCAAGATCAGTTGGACGAGATTGAATGGTAAATGTGTCCATAAAAAACCATTATATTCGTAATTTATATTCGTAAAGTGTACAGCTACACAGCTATATATATATATATATATATAAATTAATTTGATATAAAAAAAATTACACATTAATTCTAGGAGTGCAATACTTTTACAAACACTATAGTAATAATATGCATTCATTATGACAACATCATACTATTACTATAGGAGTGTTCAAAAAACAACTACAGAAACACTATATATTATACTATAGTAATACTATTTAAAATAATATAGGAATACTACAAAGATCTAGATACAATACATAGTATTACTATTATATAGTATACACTACTATGTATATAATGTATACACTATATATATTGTGTATACACGATATTATTATTCTATACACTATTACTTATTCTCTGTCAACTCCCCTCATGAGAATAAAATCAAACCACTTCTGCTATATTTGATGAGAGATAAAATGATTTTCAGCCATAAGTTCTTAATATAATTGGTACTGTTGGACTCAGTACTTGTTGGACTACTACCACACATACAATTAAGTACTTTTACAGTGTACTTTTAGAATAATACTCTGTCAAACTCCCTTCCTGAGTACAATAATTCATGTATTCTGCTATATTTGATGAGGGATACAATTATGTGTTGCAATAAGTTCTACATTAAATTGGTATTGTTGGACTCAGTACTAGTTGGACTTCTACCACAAATACTATGAAGTACTTTTACTGTGTACTTTTTGAGTGATCCTCTGTCAAACTCCCCTCCCGAGTACAATAATAAATGTATTCTGCTATATTTGATGAGAGATAAAATGATGTTTTGCCATAATTTCTTAATAAAATGAGTACTGTTTGACTCAGTACTATACTACCACAAGTAGTACTATGAAATACTTTTACCGTTTAACTTTTAAGTGATACTCGGTCAAACTCCCGTTATGAGTACAATAATGCATGTTTTCTGCTATATTTAATAAGCGTTTGAAAAATGTTCTTCACAATACTGATAATGTTGGACAGATTATTTTAAGAGTATCCTATATGGTAGACACATGACATCAACACAAGATTCACTAGATCAGTACTCCAGCAGCCAGGGCCAATTCTAGGGTCTGTGGGGGCCCTAGGCAAAAATTCACTGGGGGACCCTCAAACCAGCTTTCATCATCATTGTGTTATAAATAATCTGACACCAACAAAAAAATTGCTAAATGTAAACAGTTTTTTATTTAACAACTTCGCATTTTTGTTATTTTCAAAGTTACGGAGCGTCCACACAGCAGCGTGCGTTGACGCTTGGAGGTGGGCGTATCTGAAGCTTGGGGATTTTTTGCGAGCAACACGATCAACAACCAATCACATGAATCTCCCGCCCCCGACATACAAAGCAATAGCAATGTTAAAACGAAGTAAACTGGATATAAAATCCCCAAACAGGCGAAAACCTACCAGTTTCACCCACTGTCTCTGCCACCTCCCTCCATGCCTCGCTCCTCCGGTTTGTATCCCGGTAGATGAACAGAGACTGATCATACAGCACCGGGTGATTCACTACCGCTACAATGAATTTCCCCTCAATTTTTTTGAATATGAGGAAATGACCTGCGTAGTCTCTCCCAGCATACACGCGGTTTGATTGGCTATGCGATTGTACTGGCAGATTTGAATAAACGGGATTTCATTGGCTGACGCCTCCGTCGAGGCGTCAAAAGTTGAACATTGCTCAACTTTTGACGCCAGCTACGCCAGCAACGCTCCACGTCGCTTCCCAAAATGCATTTCGGCTAAAAGTGACGTCACCCCATTCAAAGTGAATGGGCAGAAGCGTTGGAAGCTTCAACGCACGCCGCTGTTTGGACGGGCCATTAGTTATTAGTTAGTAATATGAATATAAAAGACATACAAAAACGAAAAAAAATCACGCATATAAATATAAAGAACAATTAAAACCAGAATAGTTTTCCTTTGTAAATCTACGTGAAGTTTTTTCAGTATTCTGCGGAAAGACTATATATTTTTCTTGTATTGGTCCTTGTGTTACTAGTGCACACTTTTCACTATCATTTAGGACATTTGGCCATTGTGCAGGGTCGTCTGATGTGATCAAACCTTTTGTAGTCGTGGTAGTGCTGCTGGAGCTAGGGGTTGACGTGTCATCTTCATGATGAAAAGATGTTGCTGTCCCACTGGAGGCAGATGTTGACGCCCCACTGGAGGCAGATGTTGACGCCCCACTGGAGGTAGATGTTGACTGAACTGCTATGACCAAAAAAGAAACAGGGAATATCATGTTACAAGGAACCTTTGTATTGCAATGCACAGTATAATCAATTAAAAGTGGAATACTTAACTTACCATCATCAGCATTTGGAGGTGGCACCTTATCATTTTCCGTTGCTGCTGCTGGTGCCAGAAACTTAAGAAAGGATCCTGAGGATAGATAATAAAGTGACATTTATAACAGTAACATGTTAACAATTCAAAATGCTTTCACTTTATATAATTCAAATTCCTCATATTCAGCTTTCGAATGTTGTTCTTGGGGATAGCTTCCACTATTCTTCATTGTTTACTATTTCCATTTAATTTGAAAGGGACAATGTGAACATGGTTCCAATACAGAGGATTGTGCTGGAGCCTGCACTATGGCTACTAAGGTACCAGACGTCCCCGTTTTCCGGGGACAGTCCCCGGTTGAAACTGTCCCCGGAAATGTCCCCGTTTTTTAATATATGTTAAAACACATAGCAACGTGAAATAAAACGTTTCATGTCAGGAAACACTGGGTAAACACTACAGACTGTGGTCAAGCCAGCCCGCACGTTGTATTGCGGTGCGCGAATATCCTATGCATTACGGTAGAGGCATGTAAAAGCGGCCTTAAAAATAAAAGCGTTTACTCGGTCAATAACAAATATACCTAAAAAACACACCAAACATATTCATATATACTGGAGCTTAAATTAAGAAATATGTCCTATATAATATGATCAATAATAATTAATAAAAAACATACTAGGCTACGCAGGGCCGCCCCTGGCCAACTTGGGGCCCCAAGCGACATTGTGAGATGAGGCCCCCCCCCCAACCGACAGGAGTGAAAACAATTTTTTTGGGAACAAAGTAGGCTACTTTGCAAATATAATTCCTTTTTATTATTATTATCAACGGTTACTTTTTTATACAGTGAGGTAAATGGTAAATGTGCATGTATGTCGCTCAGTATGCGTTTACAGGTGAATTTTGCATTTCCTGCCAAATACTAGCCTCAAAAAGATAAAAACATAATTAATGCAAATAAGCTACTTCTACTACTAATAATAATCATAATCAATTCAATAATAAAAATACTATATTGTTTTATTATAATATAGTTGTAATATAGTCAAGACAAAACATGCTTATGACATGCTCAACAACTGATATTTCTTAAATCTGTATTCTAGTTCCCTCTGTCAGCAATGTATCAACAACTACACACACATTTCTATCAGTATTTCTCTGTGTTGTAGTTGACATGATGATGACTGTTAGGAGTTAAGGGGAGAGGCCAGTGCTGGAATTGGGCCGGTACTCACCGGTACGCAGTACCGGCACTTCTGGTTCTGACCCATGGAGTACCGGCACTTCTTGCTCAGTACCGGCATGCTGGCGGTACTCCGGTACTCATGCACCGTGCCAGTACTCAACACTCTCCCGCCGTTCTTATTATACATCCATATATATATATATACAGCCGCCCGGTACTCAGTAGATGCGTCATGAGGTGCCGAACGGACATTCTCAACGCTCTAACCGCTGGAGTTTCACAGCGGCTGTCAGCTGTTTACTCCTGTCATTCAAACAGAACGTGCTGGAGAGGGGGCGGGGCTTATCTTCTCCATGTAAATACTGTGGTGGAAACGACTATGTCAAAATTAACCTATTTGACCGTGATTTAATAGTAATACACGTTTCAAAATAATAATAATAATAATGCCGAAGTAACAACATACTGAAAACTGTTAGTAAAACCATGTTTTAATGCTTTACCATTTACATACCTAGATGCACGTGTGTTGTGTTTATGCAGTGCAACTCCCACCCAGTGGGTGGCTATGTAGAGTGATAGAACAGAGCAGGCACGCCCCCGAGAGAAGGAAAGCAAGTCACGTCACAAATTAGCATTTCTAAAATGTTAGCGTGTATTAATAAAAGTGCAAAAAGACAGCGGTTGTCGCCGGAAGAAACTTCAAATACAGAGAATGCTGTGCCTGTGTTGGAAATTGTGTCTGATGGGGAGCTTTCTTTGGTTGATCCTCCTGCTCCAAGTTCTAGTGCATTAGCATTAGCACTAGCTCCGCCGCCTCCTCCAGAGCCTCTAACGTTAGCTGCTGCTGGCGCAACTGCCACCACCAACACTGGGCAAAGCGATGCACCTGACTGCTGGACAACGGACCAAGTGCAATATTTTTGCAAGACCAATGCATGGCTCCTTCTTAAAGATAAGAAGCTAGGATGTCGGATATGCAGAGATGTCAAATCTTTGGGAATACACACTGGACAAGGACTGAAATTGTCAACTGAATGGGGTGAGTGTGCAGTGTCTCATTTCGGTGTTGACAAGGGCAAACAACAAGCTAGCCTGAGAAAAAAAATCAAAGAACATAAAGAATCACAAGCCCATGTAAAAGCTGCTGACATCCTTACATCTGCTTCACGTGAAACTATTCAACATCAAGTGCAGTCTATGCATAAATCTGAATTAGACACCACTATCAGAGTTTTTCGAACGGCATATAAAATTGGCAAACATAGCCGGCCATTCACAGACATGCCAATTGATTTGAATGTACAGAAACTGAATGGGCTGAACGTGGGCAGGGTTTTGCACTCCAATAAAACCTGTGGCGAAATCATCGACCACATAGCTCATGAGCTGAAGAAAAAAATGGCAAAAGACATTACAGAAAACCAAAGAAAACTCTGTGTTTTGGTCGATGAATCTACCACTATTAGTGGTAAAACGGTGCTTGTTGTGTGTCTACGCTCAGCATTAGCTGATGCTGAGCCCGAAACGTTTTTTTGGGAGCTGATCGAGTTGGATGGAACAACGGCTGATGACATCACAAAGGCGTTAATGGAGTGTCTTGGAAGAGATTTTAACGAGGACTTTTTAGGTCAGTGTTTCGTTTCTTTTGCATGTGATGGGGCTTCAGTCATGCTAGGGAAGAGAACAGGCGTTGCTACCCAGTTGTGTAGTAAATTCCCAAGCCTGTTTGTGTGGCACTGATCCAATCATCGTCTAGAGCTGGCAGTTGGGGATGTGGTCAAGGAGGTCTCAGGGCTCAATCATTTCCAGATCTTTTTTGACAAACTCTATTCCTTGTTCCATGCCTCCCCCAAAAATCAGAGGCAGTTAGCGCAGTATGCGCAAGCAGTCGGACAGCGTCTCCTGGTGATAGGGCGTGTTTTGTCCATCCGCTGGGTGGCTTCAAGTGAAAGGAGCGTCAGAGCAGTCTGGGAAAACTACCGAGTGCTTCATGATCACTTCACAAATGCTGCAAACGACACGAGCAGGGATTCCAGAGACAGAGCAAAGTACAAGGGCCTGGATGATGTGCTCACATCTGCAACGTTTGTCAGCAATCTGGGACTGATGTACGATGCGCTCACAGAGCTCAGCGACCTCTCTCGGCAACTCCAAAAAAGAGAGATGACACTGCCTACAGCAGATAGGCTCTTAACTCGAGAAATACGAGTTTTTGAATCCATGGTCACCATGCCTGGCCCACACATGACTACAGTTCATACAGCTCTAGCTGAGAAGTCCTTCAAGGGTGTTGCCCTGCGTGAGAATGGCAGGCTTGTACAGATTCATGCAGGTCAGTTTTTCCGCAGTATGGTAGAGAATCTGAGACACAGAATGACTTCCACAACCTCCTCTCATGTCAGCACAAGAGAAATCCCATTACATGGCCGGGAGTCCCGGGACAATCAGCTAATCCAGGACATGAAAGTTATCCATCCTGGAAGTTGGCCTGAAGAGGAGTTAGACGTACAGTATGGGGACGTAGAGGTGCTACGTTTGTGCGAAGTGCTGAAAGTGGACAGAAGAGAGACTGTTCAGGGCTTTCGCGAATACAAGGAAACCAGGGCATCCCGTACACCTGCTGCCATGGAGCCTCTACTGAAAGCAGTCCGAACCATCGCTGTCTCCACTAGTGAGTGTGAGCGGGCATTCAGCTGCATGAACGATATCCTTACTGCAAAAAGGAATGCTCTCTCTGTCAGCCGACTGTCCAGCCTGGTTTTCATTAAATGTAATGGACCATCACTAGGACAGTTCAATCCGGAACAGTATGTGAGGTCCTGGCTGGCAAAGGGAAGGAGAAGTGCTGATGAAAGAGCCTGTCCAGCTCCAGCCCCTGATACTGATGTCCCCAAGGCCTTCTGGAGCCTTTTCTAACAATGTGAAGTATATTGCAAAGCAGCTCACCCAGTGAGAAGACTTTTGGCATAATGTGCCGATTTGTACAGATCCTGGAGATAGAAAGACTTCAGACCAACCAGGGAGTTATCTGATCAGCTTGGTGTTCAATGTAACTCTTTACCATGGCTCAGACTTTGTTACTTGCAGTTACAGTTTCTCATTTTAGATTGTGCAAATTTTGCATTTGTTTTTACATGTTCTTTGTTCATGCTCTTTATCATTTTTCTGAGTTGGAAAGTTAGATTGCATCATAGTTTACTTTATACATATTTGTATTCTTCAGTGGTGAAGTATATTGCAAAGCAGCTCAGCCATGTGAGAAGACTTTTGGCACTTTTTCGTTTTTCGTTTTCTGAGTTGGAAAGTTAGATTGCATTCAAAATGTACAGAAATACTTAATTTTGTTAAAGCTTTTTATAAAAAATGCTTCTGACCAGAGCTTTGTTTCCTTGTCATTAATGTTGAACACCACCAGAGGGGCTCTCACCTGAAAGGTCTCTGCTTCATGTGTCTTCAGCAGAAGATCTAGACTTTGATTGCTATATTTTCAGTTAATATTGACCTTACTGAGCTTTAGCCATATCCGCTGCCTATCATACAAAATGTTAAGTACAGTGAACCTTTCTAAAATATACAGTAGTAAAGAGACAAACCCACCAGCATTATAGTAGCCAAATTCTTGTTTGTGGGCTGTATATATAAAATTTACTTGAAAAAGTTGCTGATTTTAGAGTACTGGCACCTTTTTCATTCCAATTCAAGCACTGGGAGAGGCTGAGCATCACCATGAAATGTGCAAATTGACATAAAAATGAATAAAAGGGGAACAAATGCTCCATGTTTTTTAGGCTGTAAACTTTAACTGTTATGTAAGCCAAGTAGACAGACAGTATCACTCTTCCTCCTGTACATTAGCAGATAAAAGGCATAACATACTTGAATGAATGGTAAATAAAGAATACTGGAAATAACTGCATCTCCATTAGCCTATATGCTCTGCAGAGACCGCCTTCTTCATGTCGTGAATTGCAGCTGATGTTTTAAGATGGCAATTGGCAATTTGACTTATACAACATTCGTAAATTGTACATTTGACTCATACAATAACCCACCTTCGAGTGATGCGCTAGTTTCTTCATGTTTTGTTTTTTGCGCCGGACTGAAACTGTCTTTCCACCGACATCTCTTCACCTGCACTAGTGGCCGTATCAAAGCCGTGATTGGTCAGATGTGGATTCATTGCAACAGTGTCGGGTTACAGACGTGCTCCTCTTGTCACCTCTCACTCTCACTCTCGCGGGGGGTGCGCGGAGAACTGAGCGGAGAACTGCGCACAGCAGCTGAGGCCCTCTGGGCGGGGCCACCTGCGCAAGGCGGGGCCCCATGCAGCCTGCGTGATTGGCCTGTAGGGAGGGGCGGCCCTGAGGCTACGTATAACTAGCCTACCACATTATAACTGAGTGAATGTAAAATGTAAGGATACAGTTATGAAGACATATCTGACATTTCCACTGGGTGACTAATTGCAATTGATGTTGACACCATCTCACAACACTCCTAAAATAACATTACTTTATGAAGCACAATTTAAAATGTATGCTGTTTAAAATCTCAAATTAGATCTATTGTCCATCTATATTTTGATTATTATTTAATGGAAACTGTCCATAATCATAGTGTCATTCGAAGTCAATCAAAGACTTATTTCACTCCAGGGTGATAGCAGGACACCCCATCTAGTCAATCAGAGAAAATCAGGACAATCTGATGAAGAGTTTCAAAATAAAAGACCTTTGAAATCTCATATATGGGCTATCATCCCTCTATTTTTAGATAAGAATAAAACAAAAACTATCCAGTATCAAAGACTTATTTCACTTCAGGGTGATAGCAGGACACCCCATCTAATCACTCAGAGAGAATCTGGACAATCTGATGTACAGTTTCAAAATTAAAGACCTAAAGTCTCATATATGAGCTATCGTTCTTCTGTTTGTATCCAACAGTTAACATTTTCGAATTACATTGAACCAGAATCGTCCCCCTTTTTTCTTTAACAGTGAAGAAAATTGGATATGTTAATGAGATTTTGACCGAAAAATTCCAAATGTCCCCGGTTTTCATTTAGAAAATCTGGTCAGCTTAAATACTAAGGTTGAAATATACAGTTGTCAGTATCATCATAAAACCACTCTGTACATTACAGAGAAGCAAAATACAATAAAATACACTCAACACATAGCACACTAACTTAACAATAAGTTATTTAGAGTACACTTGTCCAAATGTCTTTCATCTACATTTCCTAATTTATAGCTTGACAGTTAGCTCAGTCAGACACAGCTTCATCATTTAACTAGCCTACAGAAAAAGTTAGCTGATTTCCCCCTCCAAACTACTCCAAATTATTTGTATCGCAAATAAAGCAGAAAAAACATACATTATTTAACTCTTGTAGGCTACTAGCGTCAGTGCCGCTTCTCAGCAATTACCGTAAAGGCGCAATTAATCGCGCACTCACAAATGAAAAGCTGCTGATTTGACCAAGCAAACACGAGAGATGGCTGAGTTCACCGCAGTTGTATTATACCCTTGGTGTAATTTTTCTTTTTGTGTGTTATCCTATAACTCTAATTATTATTTTATATCATGTTCTTCTGTTGGAAAAAAAAACTGTATCCGGTTTCGTTTGTTGTTGTGCTGTTCTGTTTCCGGTGTGGATGTAGCCGAGGCAGCTGTTTATGGTTCATCCAAAATGACCAAACTGCAGCTACTGAACGCCTACCTGACGGAGCGGCTGACGGTGGTGGTGAAGGAGATCCTGGACGTGGTGGGGGACACGGTCACCGAGTACCGGGAGGAGACCGCCAGGACCAAGCGGGAGAACGAGAGCCTCCGGAGGCAGCTGCGGGACATCCTGCTGCTGGAGGCCGAGACAGAGTGGCTGAGTAAGGGCCGAGCTAGTCTGCTAGCTTTACAGGAGAGCTGTGATGGAGCGTTCCAAACCGCTCTGAAAAATATGTGCATTTTAATATTACATATCTATGTGACGTTTAAAAGCAACTAAAATCTACACTTTAACATGTTACCATGCAGTTAAAGTGCTATCTTTAAATCGGCACATATACAATTAACCAACTAGTCTAAATGGTATGACAAATATTACTTTTTGTAGCAGTTACTGTTACTTTCTGTTTTCACATTAGCAACCGTTTCGGATAGAGATTAACGTTTGAAATATATTGTTTCAGAATGTGTACAACCCTTTGCTTAATAGTGCTCTATGTTGAACGTAAAACAACATCACCTTGAATTGCCAGATGATAGCGTAGAGTCTGGCGTGGTGTTCTCTCCACGCAGGAGGTATTTAGTGTCTTACTAAATTGCTTAATAAACATTCAGAGTCCCAGCTGACTGCCTGTTATTCTTGTTTTATTAAAGGGGAATTCCTTACACATTTACCTATCTGCAGTCAGAGGACCGATAGTTAATACTCTCTCAAAGGGTTTCATTTAGGGACAGTCAACAAATGATTTGTTTTAATGACAGAAAACAAATGTTATATTAACTTCCCCATATGATTGAAAACTAGGCTTAAACAACTATAATAATCGTGTCTTGTGTGGCACAAATATTTTATTACTGATGTGTCATGAATTTATCTAAAATATTTGAATAGCAGATTATTAGTATTTTTAATAGCTTCCATGTCATGTGACCTGGGGCCTCATTTATAAACGTGTGTACGCTCAAAAAATGGCGTACGCCAGTTTCTACGCAATGTTTGCGATTTATAAAATACTAACTTGACAGGAAAACGTGCGGTCCTCCACGCAAACTCTAACCCATGCGTACGCACTAAGCACAAAAACGGGAGAGACGAGAAACTGCGACCGCGTTGGCAGAAGGAAGAATGGAGAGAAATATGTGGAAATAATACCATAAATAAAATGTTGCCTCTCATTTATCATATATGAAGAATTCATTTTCAAACATTGATTAAAGCCAATCTTAAAAAGATTAAACAATCGCCTGTTTGAGACTCCTCGGTGCACACAAAAACATAACTTGGATAAATAAATAAATACGGAAATGTTAGTGATCACCCCTCGATTATGTTCTCTTGTTAAGAAATGTTTTCTCATTTCTCAATGATAAACAGGAGGACAGAATTACGTCTAAACTGACGCCGTTTTGCATTTCTATAGGTTGTATAGATATGAGCATGGTTTTATATACTATCACGTTTAATCATGTTTTATGCCGTTCGCCGCCTACTTGATAAGTCGCTCGTAAAACACAGGAGGTATGGAAAAGAAGAACACCATATGTGATAAATTGTACAGGTAATATAACACAACACATACGTTTTATTTCCTTTAACTGGTGGATATAGAGTTGCTGGGGGGGGGGGGGGGGGGGGGTTGAGACGCACAGGGGGGTTGAGACGCACAGGCTGCAGTGGAGACGCTGCGCACACAAACCACCAAATACAAAAACATAATTCAGATCCAGTCGTCATGACTCCACACCGGAGGGATTCCCCGATCATTTCTTACAGTCTCTCATCAAGGGGGGGTCTCCTGTCCCCGGTACAAACACACTGCCTGAGGAAGGCTATGTGTATTTATTTTGTCATTAACCTTTTTCGGGCCATTTATTTATTTATTTTGGTGACGATCCGACCTCCATGCTGCTACTCTGGTTCAAACTGTCGTCATTTCCTGTGATCTTCTTCATGCAGTCAGTCAAAATGAATATTAATACGGGGCGTTTATTTGACTATTTACAGGCAAATATGGGCGTTACGTGAAGTCCGCAAAAGCTGCGCTGCATTTCAAGTTGATTGTCATTTACAAAGGGAAACCGGCGTAGGACGTGCCGCACACACGCAGTGTTTTATAAATCGTAAAATGTCAGTGCGTATTTATTTGCTTTGTCCTACGTAAGCAACCTTCCCACGTGAATCCTACGCAAGGCGTTATAAATGAGGCCCCAGGTGACTTAAAATCAATGCAGTGTTGTATTATTACACTGGACAAGTAGGACACACCTCTTTTTATTAGATTTGCTTTTATTTATATGCATATTTGTATGATTATTCATCATTTGAACAGCACACGAAATGAGTGCCTAGTGTGAGATGACTAGTTAAAGTAGGGGGGAGAGAGAGACATGTGGTTTAACCTTACAAGGTTGTTATCACTACCATACATTCCCTTACATTTGTGGTGCCAATGCAAGCATTTCTTTATTATCTTCAATCTTTGTTTCTGTGGTTCCAGGGTCCACCGGGTCCAGTCTTGGGTTAGAGTCTCCGGAGCAGAGAAGCTGTGATCCAGAGCCGCGGCCCCGCTCCAAGGAGCCCGACTCCCCCCTGAACCAGCAGGGTGTTTCTGTGGAGAGGGAGACGTGCCCCCTGCAAAATTGGAAACTTGCTGATGCCTTGGAGCCCACACTGAAGCCGGACCCTCAGACGAAGGATGCCTCACCCCTTCCAAGTTACTCTTCCTCGGCCCCAAACATCCAAATTGAAGTCCCTCTGCTGAGAGAGGAGCCCCAGGCCCTGCCTCTGATTAAAAGTGAGCCTGAGGACCACACAGTGAGTGAACCTGAGTCTGTGCAGGAGCAGGCAGCTGTCAGGAGCAGCACGGTGTTGGTGCGTGTGGACAGAGAGGAGGCTCACAGAAACGGGAAGTGCTCTCCGGAGAGACTCGCAGGAGATGAAGGTGCAGCTGTGGGTTACATCCCTGAGCTTGTGCACCGCTGCCCCCGCTGCGGCGAGGCGTTTGGCCATGCCGGCAGCCTGCGACTGCACCTGGAGCAGAAGAGGAAGTCCTACGCCTGCGACTGGTGCTGCAAGTCCTTCGCTCAGTCGGCCGACCTGCGGCGCCACCTGCGAACGCACACGGGGGAGCGGCCGCACCGCTGCACCTTCTGCTCCAAGAGCTTCAGCCAGAGGGGGAACCTGCGGCGCCACCTGCGCATCCACACGGGGGAGCGGCCGTACAGCTGTCCCTACTGCTGCCGCACCTTCAGCGACGGAGACACCATGAAGAAGCACAAGCGCACGCACTCAGGGGAGAAACCGTACAGCTGCGAGCAATGCTCCAAATCCTTTAGCAGCGCCAGTGGGCTGCATATACACTTAAAGAAGGACATGTGCTACGCGGCTAACACCTGATGGGCAGCTACAGCAAAGACATGCACATATGCACAGAGTGCTGCAGGAATGAGTCCTTAATCCCTGAATTTAGTGAGCATTCTAGGACTTCCTGTTCTCATTTATTTCTAAAAAGATTAATTTACATGTTCACCTTGCCGTGGTGCATAATGCTGCATAAATAAACACAGTTAGATGAATTCACGTGGAAGGCTTTCATGTGCCTTAAAAACAGCCGTGCTAACAAGTTGCTAAATGGGACGACTAAACGTCATCACGCCGAACATTAGCAGCCTTTAGCTTAGCGGCGGTGACTTGAAGTCATGTGACCGTGCTGTAGTTCCTCTATAGCCTAACATTAGCTTTTAACTTCTGGAGATTGCATTTACGCTTTTAAAATCGTAAACATGTTAATACGTGGATATTAACCTGCTTAACAAAATGTGTAAGTATCAATAACATTTGTTGGTCACAGATTTAATTTTTTGCATTGTCTTTTTGTGAAGGGAACCAGGCAGATGCTAACTTCAGCGTCAGACTACAAAAATACATGAATCCTGCACTTCTCTATATATATTTATTCTAAGTAAAGGACGTAAGCATTACAAGCCAGTCGGATATATAAAATGGTGGATCTCTAAATATATATATTTATGTATTATTTGATGTATAACATATTTTATATTGATAATTAAAATCTGCCAAGTAACTAACTCATCAATAACAACTACAACATTTAAAAATAAAATAATGAATAGAAGAATAAAACTGACCCTCACATTTTGCATCAAAAAGTAAATAACAATCAAAGAATTGCCAATTAATTATCATTTACGTCGTTATTTAAATGATAAAATAGCAAAGGAAGAACATATTTGAGTGAAGTACACGTACCTGTAAATTGAATATATTGCCTCTATATATCTATCCTGCTGGCTTGTGATGCACCGGATGATGTCTTTACTTTTTCTCTGATTCCTCCTGCTGAGGGTCTTTAATGCACTTTGTTTGGTTTTACTCTGACAGGGACAGGAAGTAGTCTATAGGCAGCTACACAGTCGCACTTATGTCATCCCTGCATTATTATGTATTTATTTATTTTAATTTCTTAAGTTGGGACCCTTCAGTGTAACACCACACTAAAACATTAAATATAAAAATATTATTTATTTCCTTTTTTTATCAATGTATAAACTATGTCTGATCTCACGCCACAATATTTATTTTTTGGAGATTGTGATTGGAAATGCAGATATGATGTTAGATAGTAGATTTGTGGTATTTCACAGAAAAACCAGAAAACGTGTGTTAGCAGATAGTTATGTGTGAAGATCTTTACTGTGGGATTATTTTGTATTGAGGTAAAAATTATGTTTTTTTAGAAAAATAAATGTTCAGTCAAACTGTTCCCGAAAAAGTTGATTTCTAATAAAGTTGTACATTTAGAGTCGTGCACATTGATCACTTTACCTTATTGACTTTTGATGCTCTCACTCACTTAAGGTTCAGTACTGATCATTTGTATTTAATCCATAAACAATTTTTCCTCCCGTCTATTATTTTGTTCTACAGCACACTTTTTTTGTCTTGTTTTTTTTCTCCCAAAAATTAAACCAAACGTTCTACAGTTTCAAGTTTCAGAAAGAAAAATACATTTTTAATATTGCAGATTTAAAATACAAAAACTAAATAAGGACTGCTTCAAGGAGAAAATAAAGTTGAATTAATTAAAGTCTCGAATTGTTTTAAAAAATAAATTCTTACTTGGAAACGGCTTTTGCTGTGAGAAATATATTTCCTGTCTAGTACATATTACTACAATACATTTCCACCAAAAAAATATATAAAATGTTGTAATAAAAGACCCAAATACTCTACTTTGACTTATTCAATGACTTTCTGCAGCAGATCTTTGGTGAAGAGAGACGCCTTACAAAAGCTGCACCACGATGAGTGGCCTGAAAAGATCTGGACACAAGAATAAAATGAAACAAAAAATGATATAAATGTATATTTTAAATGTGTTTTTCTATTTAAACAGTATCGACAAATGGCACAGGCATAAAGCAGAAATTAAAGTTCATATGAAAAGCTGTATTTTGTTCTCCTGTCATTATTAATTGAAACATATATATGCTTTTTGCCACAAGTTTGAACGAAATAGCAAGCATTGGAAAGGTCCAACAAAAGCAGCTAAGTGTTTTGGTGCAGCTGCAGTGCTCCTCTCCGGCTGCAGGGGGCAGCAGTGACACACTACACTGCATTCCAAATGTCTTTTATTGATCGTACATAAAACACCTGATAGAAATGTAAGAACAACTGTAAAGCACAAGATCATTGTAAACAACAGTTCTACGATATGTATATTCATATAGATATCGTATAGAAAGCCACACTCGTACATTCATACAGTCGTGCATAAAAGAAGAAGAACACTGTAAACAGAAGAATCCCAACATGTACCTGAATGCCTCATCATGTTTCAACATTTGGAAAACAGGCAGCATGAGTATAGAGATATAAATATCAACATATATCATCATGCAACACCAAGGAAGAACCACTTTATTCATAAATCATCAGCATCATGACAACAAAATGATGCACAACGTCTGTTTTCACTCTTTAGAGGAGGAATATGAAGGAAACTCAGATTATATATCAGGTGTAGACCCAAATGAGCAACATGACACCTGCACAGGTTTAAATGGATGCTGCAGATGAGAAATATGTTTATGTTGGCTATGCCCCTGCCTCAAAACAGCTATCATAAAATCATGTTTAGCAAAGGTAACTTGGCAAATATAATAAAAATGTGAATTGATAAAAATTGTTTTACTCATACACTTTTTAACATAACATGCAATAGAACTTAATATTACTTTCCCCATGCAATGTGCATTGGTGTTAAAAAAAAAAGCATATTTACGTATTACTTTTTCAATATCATTTGCATTGGTGAACAAATAACTCTTTTAAATATTTTACTGAAGTTAACGTAAAATGAGCTTTTTACATCATGTGCATTGATGTTAAAATATATTGATGTTTAATGCTTTATAAAACATATCTTACTTGTAATGTTAGTCTATTGGGCCCTGGTGTACTTAAGTAAACATAGTACTACTTAGGTGAGGAAATACACGTTATTAGTAAAATCCTGCATTCACCATCTTACTTAAAAGTACACATGTAGCAGCATCAACATATACTTAGTAAAAGTACTCATTATACAGATCATATATTTATTTCACAGTGTTCAATTTAAAAAAGGAGTCAGTTGGAAAACATTTTCATGGAGCTAGCATTAGCTTGCTTAGCGTGCTAAGGACAGCTGTATATATGTGTCAGTTGTCACTTGTGGCGGGAACATTGAAGGTCGCTGGCTACTTCTACTTCTATCTAAAGTTGTTTGAAATATTAATCAATGTTTTAATTGTAAATCTACCTATGTTATTATTATTGAAAATGAAGTAGGCGGGGCTCGATGAACATTCAATTTCAAGAATTGACTGATTTCTTGTGAGGTTACAGTAAGTTATTTATATTAAAATATCAGCTTTTTCCAACATCCCGGTCTGCTTCAAAAAGCGCATGAGAACAATGTTTCTATAATGAATTTAACACCTAAACGGTATACACAGGTCTGCACTGCTATTCTATCATAGGGTGTTAAATAATAACTCTTATTTCATTTATGAGAGTCACCAATTTGGCATAGTTAGCAAGATACTGTAGCTTACAGTAGATTCACTAGCTAGCTTGCTTGTTCGATGGGTAGTTCCTGTAGGCTAGCTAACTGGTTAGATAGCGAACGTTAGCTAGCTTGTAAAGTAAATAGCTAACTTTAGCTTGCTTGTTCAGTATTTGCTCACGTTCGCTGGATAGATAAATGGATAAATAGATAGATAGATGACAGCTAATGCTCATACGTTCGCTAGATAGCTGACGTTCGCTAGCTAAATAGCACACTGGTTAATTGAATTTGCTCTATAGGTTAACTTGTGTATACCGATATGCTTGGGTATTTATCCTGGCTTCTAGTAGATGAGCCATCTACACCCAAAGACACCAAAGAGTCCTAAAACATTTCCTCATATAAGATTTTGGGCCATTTTCATAATGTGACAAAATGACAAATGACAGAGGATGGATGTGATACCATAAAACCATTCCTTCACTGCAGTGTAGCTATAAATAATGCCAAATAAAATGTATTGTTTACAATCCTGCTTGTGATAACCGGAAGAACAATATAATTATTTGAATAGATATTGGGCCATGACAAAATATTTATCAAATATATCTATTTGAATAGAGAAAAAAAGTATATTGGAAGTGGTGGAACGTACCAAAGTACATTTACACAAGTATTGTAATTAAGTACAATTTTGAGGTACTTTACCTGAGTATTTGTATGTTTATGCTCCTTTATACTTCTACTCTTCTTCCTTTTGGAAGCCATTATTATATATTTTTCTCCACTATATGTATACTGACAGCTTTAGTTGCTTTACATATTCAGATTATTAGCAAATAAAAACATTTAATAAACTAGTAAATAAACATTAAAATATAATTAAGATAAATTATCCAGCAGCAGTTTGTAAAGTAATTCAAATTTGCTATAAAGAATGTCAGCTGTGATACAGAGAACACACATTATTGCATCAACAATTATAATCCAGTAATTTAACATGTATGATTCTGAAATGGGCCATTACACATTAGTACTATTACTTTTTGTACTTTAAGTGTATTTTAAATGCCAATACAGCAGTATACATAGTAAAAAGAATGAAATAAAGCTACTCCTTTTACATCGGGAAGCTTTAAAGTTATGAACACTAATGCATCAATAGTTACAATCAACAATATAATTAATGTTCTTCTAAAAACATGGTTGTGCTTTAGTATTTTTTTAAGTCAAGTACTTTTACTTTAGTAAGATTATGAATGTAGGATGTTAACTTTTAACAGAGTATTTTTACATAGTAGCCTATTGCTTCTTTTAACTGGTGGAAATGTACAGAAGTACTGTACTTAAGTACACATTCTAAATTGTCTGCTACTTTATACTCCACCACTTGTATTTAATAACTGTTGTTCCCAGTTACTTGGCAGATTACTTGCAGAATGAATGACCAGATTTGATAAGCTCTGGGTGCTATAGAATGGTGCAGAAAAGAGTCCTCAAACCCAGAGAAGACATATCATTTTACCACTGGTTCCCTTGTCTCGGAGTAAACGGTTATTTTAACGTGTTTGTGGTTATATGCCTGAAATAAGGTCTGTGGTTAAAACAAGAGTTTTTCATGATTTGTTCTACGACATAAAATACATCAGCAATCAGCCTACTCAAGCAGTAATGAGACCGGCTTCAGCTTAGCATTAGTGATGCGCCGCATGGCGACCGTAATGTGGAAATGTCCATGCTAAACAAACGTGTTAAGTATCATGAATGTGTGTTTGCCCCAGAACTTATTTTCAGCAATATACCAATATCCGATGGGAAAATCTCATTGCTCTATGTCTAGGGAACCCTTTGCAATGCCAACTTTCGGGTCAGTCTACAGTACACCCATACATCATCACTGCATTACTCTATAGCCTGAATGCACCATGAACATAAGGACTATAATAAAAGAAGTGTACTTGTTAAAACGGTTTGGCTCATTTGAAGCTAATGTTGCAGGATTCTTGCTGTTCTAGGTTTATCTTCATGTTTGGTTGCATTTATATGAAGTCGCTTTGGAAAAAAAAAGTCGGCTCAATTAAATGTAATGTAAAGTTCAATCAAAGCTTTTTCTTAAACAAAACATGCATTTGAATTTCTGCAGCTGTGGTTTCTCTGAATGTGTGCGTCAGTGTCTGACCCCTGTGAGCTTCTTCTCACTAATGAAGGCACACCATCACTTCCTCTCATTGCCAGCGGCTTCCGTGGTGAAGCTGCTGCAGAGCCCCCCCCATGTTAGTCGTGGCTGAGGGTGCGGGGCAGCTCGTTGCTCAGGATGTGCCAGCGCTCCACCCTCCGGCCCGGGCTCTTCAGGCAGTCGGTCCAGTGACGGAGGCCGTCACCCTGCGAGTGTCCGCTCAGACACACCCCACCTGTAGACAGAGGGAGGAGTGTTGGTGTCAGGAAACACTCGTCTGCAGTTTCACAGGACAGCTGAATATGTATTACAGCCAGTGGGGGAAGGTTACCAACTTCATTTCATTAATAAAATAAAAAATATTATTATTTTTAAAGATATTAAAAAATATATTGTTTTACATTTAAAAATAATCTCTAAATATATAATATATATGATATTACCCTAAACTCAATCTTTCCTTCAATTTGTCATTTTCTTTTATAAATGTTTTCATTGATGTAGAAATACAATTTATAGTTTCTAATTACATGATAGCTTTAATCTTTACCTTTATTTTAGAAGTCAACAGTCATTATAAATAACTCAATGTATTACTTTAAAAACTTTATAATCTCTTTTGTCTCACTTTTTAAAAGTTGTAAAAACTCTTCTTACTTTTATTACATTTTAAATAATGTATTCAGTTTTTTCATTTCCATTCTTTCTTTTATTTTTTGTTGTCGTTAAAAATGTATAAATATGGCAGGATGAAAAATAAGTGATAAGTTGTAATTTAAATAATTGCAATAAAAAATGCCACAAAAATATAATTAAAGATTTCCCTTTTGGAACCAACTTCCATCCAAATCAATAATGCCAAACTTTCATTCTTTTTCTCAAAAAAGAATTCATCCAGTTATGCATTTAATAAGTGTTATTAATAATGGATGTCAAAAGTCTAAGTCACACCTTTTCAGTCAATATTCTTTTTGTAGTCTGTCACTTCAAAGTTACTTCAGGAGACCAAACACTGGCCAAGCAGGTTCAATTCACCCTGAACTGAAATGATCAGCCCCTCCAGAGCTCTTTATTCCCATCATTAGCAAGAATATTATGATGATAATAAACAGACACTGAGGAGCAGATTGTAACATAGTAAACATTGAAATGCTTCGACTGAACAGCTTTGCTGACACTAACGAGCCACGTGTGAGAGGTTCATGAATATTTACAGATTTGTTTTGTGATCATTTCCACAGACGTTCAGCACTCTTGCATAAAAACATGTTGTTGTTCTCAAAGAGGCCTCCTGGTTCAGAGGGAGTTTCCCTACGTTCCTGTGACGGTCGGGGTCTCACCTATGAAGTCGTTGGAGCGTCCCAGGTCGTAGTCCCACACCGTCACCTCCAGCGACTTGTTGGAGAGCTCCGACAGCGAGATCTCGTAGAAAAACTCCTGCAGGGAGAGGCAGATTTAAAAACACCATGAGGTCAACCATAAGACAATGTGTGGTGATATTCTACACATCTTTATACACATTTATTGTTGTCATATATCTTAGAACGACCTGCCTGAGGAGATCAGGGTTACAAAATATGTCAGCTCTTTTAAGTCGCTTATTAAAAACTCAAATGTGATTTGACTTTTAGTCTTATTTTATTTTTCATTTATTCTTGATCTATGTATTTTTGGTTTATTATTTTCTATGTGTTTTACGTGTGTATGTTATATAACGTATTTGTATGTGAAAGCACTTGGTAACTATGTTTTGAAAAGTGCTATATGCATAACGTTTATTATTATTATTAGTAGTAGTAGTACAATGGCATTTTTTATTTTATTTTATGGGGTAACTGTTAAGAAATCAAATTTCCCCCTGGGGATTAATACAGTCATTTCTGTACAGACTTACTATACTGTACTGTGTTTGTATCAATGCCCGTTATATCTCCTTTCTCTGTGCTATGAAGCTCCATTGTTGCTCAAAAACTTAAACAAAAATGAATATATTATTCGGAATTAAATCTAAACATGAAACTTATGGAAAATAAAGTTTTTCTTAATACAATACATGTCATCAATCCTGTGTCATAAGAAGTTAAATTAAATATCAGCCTTTCCCAGAATTTATTTATTTTTAATTAAAAAAGGTTTATTTGAGAATAATTGTACTTAATTTGAGCGGCGGGTGCCGAGCTTGTTGAGTTTTCTGATTCCAATGGACACTGAATCAGGGTTAGAGACCCTAGCTCGGAATATCAGGAATGTACTCTTTCTGGATGAAATGTTGTCATGGTTCAGGTGGAAATTGAATGTAGAACCAAATTTAAAAAAGTAATTAGTAACATAAGTATGAGGGCGGTGGTGGTCACCAGTTTGAGTCCCGGAAAGACCAAGTGCTACCGAGGTGTCCCTGAGCAAGGCATCGTTCCCTACACTGCTCCCAGGGCGCCGTACATAATGGCAGCCCACTGCTCCTAACACTAGGATGGGTCAAACGCAGAATGTAAATGTCCCCTCTGTGGGACGATTAAGGGTATATAAATAAATACAAATAAAAGTAATAACAGTAAATGGTCTGTTATTACCCCCTCCCTCGTGAATATTTTCTATCCAGAATTATTGAGAAGATCATATTATAAAAGGCAACATATAAAGTTTATGCTCTTTCATGACCATTCACTTTCAGACAAGAGTACCAGCTTCAAATGCCTGATTTCCTAATAGAGTTTGGTGAACAGATGCTGAATCAGCATGTGGCTCACACTGTTTCACTACATGTTTCTTCATTACCATGAACACACTGTCAATTATTTTGAGCACACACCCCATCCTGCCGACAAATGTGGATTAATGCACCGCAGGAAATAGTCCCCAACAAATGTCTTCTATACAAAATACACTGAACAGCTGCTTTATTTCACGAGTTTTAAACAACAGACCTGTAGATGTAAACCTCTTAAAGGGAATGATGGAACAGTTAATTTTTTTAACCAATCACTGGAGAAAAAGAGTTAAGGAGTTAAGAAATAATAGGCTTCTTGCACTTATCAGTGTACTCCGATGTTCATCTGTCTGTTGGGCAGCACTGGTTTATACAGCTCACAGTGATTACATATCTTCTAAGGGGCATGGACGACTGTAAAGGAAATGTTTTCTGATATTTCTTCTCACAAGTCTTTGTGGGACAAACATCGGAGAGGTCTTTTGGTTTTAGAACCATATCATGCAGTGGTGCAGAAGGGAGGGGTCTTACCTCGTTGAATTCAGGGTTGAGGGTTTTTTTCATCACAGCTGTTTTGTGTTTGGATTTCTTCTGTATGTCGGGCTTCAGGTATCTTACAGCAGGAGCAGAGAAGAAGAAAAAGCACATCAGTTTGTTTTATATATTGTGTATACAATAACAACTCAGGAGGGAGCCAGTCTCGATTGAGGCCCATCAGCTCTGATCTGCGGCCACTTCCCCCCCAGAAACTGTATTTAAATCTCATCCTGGTCACTGACCTGCCAGTGTGCAACTCGATTTTGACAGGATAACAACTGGTGACTTCTAGAATTGTGTGAGTAACATTCTGTTTTTTGACTTCTCTGTTTCAGTGTGTGTACTCTGTATACATGCTCTGTAGTTGATCTGACTGAAATTGTGATTTTAAATCTCAAAAACCGCTACAGTAACTTGGAACAAGTAATTTGACTGAAACCTTAAAACTGAACTAACTGCTAGGGTTAACTTTGATTTAAACATTTGTAGAATACTAAGAGCTTTATTGAGTAGGTGTAACTGTATTAAGGGTTCAACTCATAACTTTATAACTTAGGGTTTAATGTAATTGTAAAACCATTGGGCCACTGAAAAGACAATAACAACTCAGGAGGGAGCCAGTCTAGATTTCCTTTTGAGGGCCACCAGCTGCAGAGAGTTAACTAATTAAAGGGACGTGGCCCCACAGCTGTGAGAACTCAGTAATCAGGTGTCCATTTTAGGTAGCACTTTCCTGGAGCATCAGACAGACGAAGACGGATAAAGACAATAGAGTCCTGCGGGAGTCAAAGACTGACAAAGACAATAGAGTCCTGAGGGAGTCAAAGACTGACAAAGACAATAGAGTCTTGCGGGAGTCACGGGGGTGGCAAAGAGGAGGCAAATCCTACTTTGATTGAGCTAAGTATCGCTGGTGTTTTATTTGGTTGTTTAGCCCCTCATGCTATAATCATGTGTATTTTCTCCATTCCTGTTTATGTGTCTTCTCGCAATTATCACTGGCCCCGTGTATCTCGTAATCGATATAACCGGCCTGCTCTCGTCTATCCCACATGCTCCACTGAGATCCAACATCTAGTTTCAGGCGGCCTGTGGAACTGCCAGTCAGCTGTTTCTAAGGCCGACTTCATCTCTGGCTACGCTTCCCTGCAGTCCCTACATTTCCTTGCTCTCACTGAGACCTGGATTACTCCATCCAACACATCCACCCCCGCAGCTCTCTCCAGAGCATATTCCTTCTCCCATACACCCAGACCCACTGGCAGAGGAGGTGGCACTGGTCTCCTGCTCTCTCCCAAATGGAGCTTTTCCCTCTTCAAGCTACCTAACTTCACTCCTTCCACCTTTGAATTCCATGCCGTCACAGTAACCCATCCTATACAATTAACCATTGTTGTTCTCTACCGTCCACCAGGTGCCTTGAGGGACTTCTTGGAGGAATTAGATAATCTCCTCTCACACATCCCTGAAACTGGCCCTCCCGCTGTACTTCTCGGAGACTTCAACCTCCAGACAGGGAAGATAGACGAACTAACATCTCTGTTAACCACCTTTGCTTTCTCACTGTCTCCATTCCCACTAACTCATAAAGCTGGCACTGTCCTCGATCTCATATTCTCAAGGAACTGCTCTACTTCTAACCTCTCTGTAAACCCGCTCCACACATCCGATCACTTCTTCATTTCATTCTCTCTACCCCTTTCCAAACATAACAAACTAATCTCTTCTCATCCTGCACCTGTCCGCCGTAACCTTCGTTCCCTCTCCCCCTCTACCCTTGCCTCATCGGTTCTCTCAGCCCTCCCTTCCTCTGACTCGTTCCAAGTCCTACCTCTGCTGCAGAAACTCTCCTCTCTACTCTCTCATCCTCTCTGGACTCTCTCTGTCCTCTCACATCTCGGCAGGCTCGTCAGTCCCCTCCTGCTCCCTGGCTAAATGACGCACTGCGTGCTAATAGAACCGTCCTTCAGGCAGCAGAGCGGAAACGGTGGAAATCCAAACACCATGACGACCTCCTAACCTATCAAGCTCTCCTCTCCTCTTTCTCTGCTTCGATCTCTCAGGCAAAAAGCACTTTCTTTCAAGATAAGATCCAATACTTCTATTCCAATCTCAAACAACTATTTTCCATCTTCTCCACCCTCCCAAAGCTCCTTCCCCCTCCTCCCTTCTGTCAAGCGACTTTGTTAACCATTTTGAAAAAAAGGTTGATGATATTCGCTCTTATTTTTCTGACTCACCTTTACTCACCACTGGGTCACCAGACCCTCCCTTCACCCACACACTAACCTCCTTCTCCCCTCTCTCTCCAAGTGAGGTTCTTACCCTCATTACCTCTGCCCGTCCTACCACCTGTCCTCTGGACCCTATCCCTTCAAACCTCCTTCAGACTATCGCCCCTGATATTCTACCGTTTCTCACCCATTTCATCAACACTTCTCTAACTTCTGGTCACTTTCCAAACAGTCTCAAGGAGGCAAGAGTAAACCCTCTCCTAAAGAAACCCACTCTCAACCCGTCTGATGTTATAAACTACAGGCCTGTCTCTCTCCTCCTGTTCCTGTCTAAAACACTTGAACGCGCTGTCTTTAAACAACTCTCCTGTTATCTCCTGTAGTGGAAATTTCTTAAATGCTCCTATATGCTAAAGCCAAATGCTTCTAAAAGCATTGTCTAACACTACTGTTCCATTTTCCTATTATGTGCTGTTTTCTCTGCATACTCTAATGAGGGGTTTTATTCCCAAACGCTTCAAGGCCACAGAGCTGATTTGGCAGACTATGTTGAGACTACTCCTCTTCACACAAAGTCACACAAAGTCACACAAGAACTTCCATATTCTGAGAACCGTTATACTATCTACAGCTCAAGGACAGGTGTCTAATAACAATATGAGACCGTGTGAAAGCAGATTTCTGAGCTTCCCGCCCTTTCCTGTATATAAGCTTTTCTATTTTATGACTATTGCGCACACTCCTGCAGACTATCCTATACTCTGTGAGACCTGTGTCTTTGAATATATTCAAATAAATAACCAGAAAGACAACTCTATTTGTTTCACCATTTATTGTTAATCATTCTGACCTGTGTATCTCCACAGTATTGATTGGGTCTAAGATTTCCATAACACTCCATCAGAACAACCTTCTGGTTCCGCACCAGTCTGGTTTCAAGGCAGGTCACTCCACAGAAACTGCCCTCCTTGCCGTCACTGAGGAACTGCACACTGCTAAAGCAGCCTCCCTCTCCTCTGTCATCATCCTTTTGGACCTGTCTGCTGCATTCGACACGGTGAACCATCAGATCCTCCTTCGCACTCTCCAAGAACTTGGAGTTTCAGGCTCTGCACTTTCCCTCCTCACCTCATACCTCAAAGACCGCACCTACAGGTTTACTTGGAGAGGGTCGGAGTCCGACCCTTGTCAATTAACTACAGGGGTCCCTCAGGGCTCTGTTCTTGGTCCCCTCCTCTTCTCCCTGTACACAAACTCGCTCGGATCAGTCATTAGCCCGCATTGTTTTTCATACCACTGCTACACTGACGACACCCAATTAATTCTGTCCTTTCCCCGCTCAGAGACCCAGGTCGTCGCACGTATCTCTGATTGTCTAGCTGACATCTCTCAGTGGATGTCTGCTCACCACCTCAAGCTCAACCATGACAAGACTGAATTGCTTTTCCTTCCGGGAAAAGATTGTCCCACTCTTGACCTGACAATCAACATCGGCACCTCTGTTGTTTCCCCGACTCAGACTGCAAGGAATCTGGGTGTGACCCTAGATAACAAACTGTCCTTCACTGCAAACATAGCTGCTACAACCCGCTGCTGCAGATACACGCTTTACAACATCAGGAGGATACATCCCCAGCTGACCCAGAAAGCGACGCAGGTTCTGGTCCAGACTCTCGTCATCTCACGCCTAGACTACTGCAACTCCCTCCTGGCTGGTCCACCTGGAGATCCACCCGACCTCTGCAGCTCATCCAGAATGCAGCGGCTCGTCTGGTCTTCAACCTTCCTAAATTCTCCCACACCACGCCGCTCCTCCGCTCCCTTCACTGGCTTCCGGTAACTGCTAGAATCCACTTCAAGACAATGGTACTTGCTTACCATGCTGCGAATGGATCTGGCCCTTCCTACATCCAGGACATGGTTAAACCGTACACCCCGGCACGTGCACTCCGCTCTGCATCAACCAAACAGCTCGCTGCGAAGGGGACTCAAGTTCCCATCAGCAAAAACACGTGGGTTTGCTATCCTGGCTCCACAATGGTGGAATGAGCTCCCCATTGACATCAGGACAGCAGAAAGCTTACACATCTTCCGGCGCAGACTGAAAACTCATCTCCTTGGACTCCACTTCGAGCGATAGAACTATTAACAAAGCACTTATATACTAATAAAGGACTGGCTTATCTAAAGCCAGTTGAGTAGCACTTGAAATGATTTTGCTCTATGAAACCTGATGTACTTATATGATTCTGTTTTCTTCAAGTTTGTATTTTGTTGGTCGAAAGCACTTATTGTAAGTCAGCTAAATGCAATGTAATGTAATGTGTATTAAAGGTCCCCTAGTATCTTCTTTTTCAACAATATATTATAGATCTCAGATATATACAAAACATGTCTCTGAAGTGTTTGAAATACCAAACAGCTCATTGTACCATGCCATATACCCTTCTTTTTCAGCTTTACAATTTAAGAATTGAGAAGCTACTCCTCACATCAGCTACGGTTAAATAACTTGTTGCCAGCGGAAACATATTATTCACTGCAGTATATCTCCAATGGAAGGTTGGCTTAGTTAAATCCAGGTCGTGACTTTTTTTTTGGACTGGCAGTGCATATCTTCTCTAACTTGTAATTATTTTAGATTTTTGTGACTTGTTTATTATTTATCTTTTCCAACTGTATAATTTAATATACGCCATGACAAATGGATTCTGCTCGCATCAGAGCAGTGACTTGCAGATATTTTACTTTCATGAAAAGCTGAATATTTGCATCATGTTTTGCTGTGGGCCTAATGAGGAAGCCACTAATTAGACACAAACATAGAGCAGTGGAAGTGATGCGGAGTGTTTCATTAAAGCACAGTTCCACTCCTCAGGCGCACACACACACACACACACACACACACACACACACACACACACACACACACACACACACACACACACACACACACACACACACACACACACACACACACACACACACACACACACACACACACACACACACACACACACACACACACACACACACACACACACACACACACACACACACACACACACACACACACACACACAGAGAAACTGACTGTGCATAGAACATATTTAGTTAAAAATACCAGTATGTTCTCCTGCATCCGATCCAATTTCCATTATGCTTTTCTGGCTAATGACCCACAATCCTTAGCGGCGGCAGACATGAGCAAGAATGTCAAAGTTTAAGTAGCAATGTCAGTGGTGTGTCCCAATAGTAACATAATGCTTACAATAAAGCATTAGCGTATATAACAGTGCCAGAAAGAGTGCTGACATCTGGAAATGAGTTAGCATATTAGCATGTTGGCAGCCGAAAGCAAGAGGCAACATTTAAGGACAGGATTTAACCCAGACAAAGTAATTATGTAATATAACAAAAAAAGATATATAAAATATAACCTTTAATACTCAGAAAGGCACTATATGATTGTAAATACATTATTATTATTATCATTTTGTCTTTCTTTCTTTTTTATACATTTATATATATCGTGATTTCAAAACAACACACTGTGAAAGAAGATGGCATGATATTATTCAATGATATCATACTCAGTGAGAGTGTGACCCCCTTTTTATTATATATACTTATATATGTATAAATGTGCTTCACTTACCAAAAGATCTCTGAAGACGGTAATACTTTTGCTTTAACTGCACGTGGCATTAAGCGCTGATGTGTGAAAAAAGATCAGAATATAAACTAATTTGCAAAATAATCGAGATCACTGAGACCATATTGGTTGGTTGGGAGTTGGAAGTGTATGTTATGCTTTGAGTTGTTTTGACGTTTGTTTTTGTCTTAATTGTCCAGGATCTGCAACCACAGAATCTCCATGATCCTTTGGTGAATTTGCCCCCTGAGACGGTCTAATAAACTTCAGCCTGTGTTCAGCTTTCACAAAGATCAAATAAAGCCAGACTAATTAGAGCGCATGTGGACACTGACTGGACTTTTTCAAATGCCTATTGACCTGTTTTAACGCGACGTGTCGTCTGCACGGAGCCCTGCTGAGACGTTGCTGAGACGTTGCTGTGATTTCTAAATGTGGTGAATCCCTGTGATCTCCCTAGACCCCTCAGCTGTCAGCGCCCGCCCGCCCCCCCCCCTCCCTTCTGGCTCATACTCACTCTGTATTCAGACGGCGTGTGACAGAAAAAACCGAAAAAAAACCTGGGCTCCTCTTCAAAGCCGGTGTCCCCTCCAGGGAACAAAAGCCAGGAGAAGCCTTTAAATCCTCGACTCTGACACACACGGCTCATTTCCCCCCCACTCATTATCCTTCCTGCTGGGAAACTACAACTGCATCATTGATTAACAGACACAGTTTAAAGATCCCAAAACTCTTTCATTTGTCTCAGGAGTGCTGGGTTCCAGAGGTGGAATATAACAAAGTTTATTTAAAGTGATGTATTATACCTGAGTCATTTGCCCTCCCCTTAATCGATAAGAAAGTGTCAGTTTTAGTCAGTGTTGAGTGACAGATTTCTTTAAGCGATCCTTCCTTTTTTAATGCTTTTTTTCGTGCTGTATGACTCATTTGAGTATTTTCTGAGAATCTCTCAGGTAAACAGATTTAAAGAGGAAATATTATGATCATTTCAAGGTTTCATGTTAGTATTTAGTGTTTCTCCACTGGGACATGTCTCCATGTTTTAATGTTCAAAAAGCTCTTTCTTTTTCTCATACTGCCTGTGCTGCAGCACCTCTTTTCACCCTCTGTCAAACCAGAGCCCAGTCTGCTCTGATTGGCTAGCTCTGTTGTGATTGGTCAACAGCTTAGAGATGTCCCGCCCCTTAGCACCAACAATGTGTTGGAGCACTAGCCAATATAACTGCAAGTGTTACATAGTGATGTCATGATGGTACAGAAGTAAACAAAGGTGTCCAATGGAAGCATTTCAGGCAGGGGGGGGGGGGGGGGGGGGGAGTATTAGGAAAAATATGGCACAAACAAAAAATAATATATACTACAATAAGTACACTTTGAATATAATTACTTGCATGAAGGACTCACAAAGATGTGTTATGCTGGCTACAAAAAGCATGACTTGGACTGTTGTTGGTCTTCATTAAATAACTGTTCAGCCTGCTCTGATTTGGTGAGATGTTTGCACAAACGATTAGCCTTTTTGGCAGGTACTCTCTGTGCTATTGTTCTTGTTGATTTTCTGTTGGCTGCCATGATTTAATGACTTCTGCTGACTACAACCGACAGCTCCTGCTTTACCACAGAGGAATGTAGCAAACACATCGTATTGGCCCTTTGGTTATACCTTTCACATTTTATTTATCAACTTTTCAAAAATCGATTTTCTAAATTCAAAAGTGCAAATGTATCTCTTGTCATTTAAACAGTTTGATATAGTCTTTGACTGCAGATTTACAGCGTACTGTGTCTTTGATATCTCTTACTACATGAGCTTTAACAGTATATCAAGTACAGAATAACGCAGTCCTGTACAGGTTGTGAACCCCCCCTAGAGAAAACTTGTGATTTCAAGCCATATCAATTAAATAGACCTGCAGTCACCAGTGGTGTAGTGGGGATTTTTTTACTGGGGGGAAGCTATTTTAATTAGGTCATCCCAAACAAGTGCGCATGCGCGCAGTGCACTCCCAAAACGGGCAGACAGGTCCACAGAAACTACCGGTATGCTTAGTCCTACTTTAGTTACTGTACTGCAAAAAGCAGACGGCGCTGCGCTCAACACACACAGACTCAAAACCATGGACACACTGGCACATAAGTTACATAAACCATTTATAGGCCTAAATTGCATAAGCTACAGTATTGCACCTAAGCAGACAGCGCTGCTTCTCTCTCTCTCTCTCTACTTTCAAAATCTATTTAAAACTCATAACAAACAAACAAAATGTCCAAAGTTGTCCTGAAATTAACATATTAAATAAACAAAACGAAAAATATAGCCATACTTATGCAAACAACATTGAATCTGGACTTGACATTATTCTGATTAGGCCTAGCCTACATTGCAAATAAGCAGACAGCGCTGCTTTTCACACACACACACACACACACCTTGGGTTTTGAAGACTGATAAATCCGAAATGGATGAACAAACTTTGCAGCCCAGTTTCCCAGCTTTGCAGTCTATCCACGGGTAAGCCTCTTGTTTCCTCCGCCACATCTCCTCTGTCCATACCTCTGGGAAAGCTGAGCTTGAGCTAGCTAGAGGAACGTTGCTAGCGCAGCTAACGTGCACGTTAGCTAGCATTATCCACGTCTTTAGGCGGCTCTTCTGATGATGTATTACTAGCAGCTTCACTTGTAGCTTCTGTGCTGCTAGCCTCTTTCTTCTTGTGAATTATATTCTTTTTAGAAAAGAAGTCAAGTAAAACATGTTAGCCTTTCGTTAGTGTTCTTGAGGGAAGGAGCTGCCGCAAAATCGACGGGCGCGGCGAGCTGGCTCGCCGTGGGTGTATCAGTGACCGTGGGTGTGTCAGTGACCGCGGAATCATACTTTTTTAAGGAAATTGTTTTTATTTTTTATTATAATTACTGTGAAATGTATTATGTTTTCGTCATTATTACAACAAATACACACTTGCAACTGATAACACTGGCAATGATTTTATATTTATTAGACTTAAAAAATAGATCATGCTCCAAATAAGTGGGGGTACGGCGTACCCCCGCGTCCAACGGCCACTACACCACTGGCAGTGACTCTACAGTTCTTACATTTTGACGTAGGGGTCAGAGAACCCGTTCACATCCATGGCTGCCAGGTGGGCGCAGCGCCTCACGCCCACACAGAGACCTCCGCTGCGACGCCCCTCACCTTCACCTCCGTCCACATCTGGCTCGTCCGAACTGAGCGGAGGCACGAACTGCAGAGAGAGAAGAAGACGGCCTCGCTCCTCCAGGCTGTGCAGCTGCTCGCTCTCCCACTGCGGACAGAGTAATCACATGGTGTGGTCACATGACTAGTAGAGATAGCGAAACACATGGTGATATGAGGTGGGGATGCTATGCCACTTGTTAGTGAAAAATGCATTCTCCCTTGTGAACCTGGTCCCTCTCCATCCCGCGGAAGAAACTTTGTGGAGCAAAAGCAGCATGGCAGCTTTCTGAAGTAACTAACTGATTTGTATTTGACTTTTCTATGAATTTACTGCCAGTTAGGTCTTCTCTGATTTCTATACAATATATAGCATGGAAGAATAACCTTTGTCTGCTTAGTAAAAAGCTGTAAAAATGTGTTTGTTTAAATAGTTAATCTTAGTGAAGTCATATTAGTTTATTCGTTGATTTTAATCACAGTACTTAAATGAGAAAAAATGTGTTGGATTATTTTGGGCCGCTCAGGTTAAGGGTATGCTCATGTTCTGGTTTCGTATTTGTATGTACCTCTACTGTTACATGTTTCCATGCTCTAATGTTCTACATTTCATTGGTTAGCTTGCCGGCTCTGTTGTGATTGGTCAACTGCTTAGAGATGCCCCACCCCTTAGCCTATCATGTACAATCTGTTGGAGCACAAGCCACTGGGAAGTGCTATATAGTGATGTCACTGTCAGATTATTTTGGTTGGACACATTGAGTCGGAAAAGTGAAGTCGGATTAGTTTAATCAGATACACTGATAACTTTATTCAAATTAATGTAGTCAGAATAGTTTCGTCAGATACATTTAGTCAGATTTCTTTAATCAGATCTAACCCCTGCAGAAACCAGTGTACACTGTTATGAGTTGGAAGGCTATTATCATGGCTAAACTAAAACAGAGACACAGCCCAGCGATGAGCTTCAAAGACTCAGTATGGCTTCCATTTCAGATGCTTTTTCTGATGTTTCTGGTTGTTTATTAAAGACTCATTGATGGCAGCAGGACCTGGAGTTTTAATTGAATATATTCCATTATTTAAAAAATCAGCCATCAGTCGCCCCCACAGGTGAGGAGACACAGAAATAAGACCCAGGGTTTACTCCTCCGAGGAGCCACGCTGAGCACATTTCTGTTTGTGTTAACTTTCTCTGGACTTTTAGCTGTTATAATCAAATAGATAGGAAATAGGAAGTAGATATGGGAATGACTTACACTTTATACTCTACTGTTTAGTAGAGTGTGGGAGTCGAGCTCTTTCACTGCAGCTATAATCCCATTTTCTACTTTCATTTCATCCCAAAAGGTCATCCCACAGAGAGGAGATCAGAGACGCACACACCTCCTCCTGATGGTGTTCATTACAACTCATCCCCCCGCTCATCTTTTATTTAATCTTCGGGGTCGAGTCTCAGCAGAGGGGAGAAGATCGATAGTTTTAATTCTTCATGTCTCGCCCACTCACTCTTTCTCAGTGGTGTAGTGGGGATTTTTTTACTGGGGGGGACGCTATTTTAATTAGGTAATCCCAAACAATGCCACACAAGTGCGCATGCGCGCAGTGCACTCACAAAACGGGCAGACAGGTCCACAGAAACTACCGGTATGCTTAGTCCTACTTTAGTTACTGTACTGCAAAAAGCAGACTGCGCTGCGCTCAACACACACACAGACTCAAAACCATGGACACACTGGCACATAAATTACATAAACAATGTATAGGCCTAAATTGCATAAGCTACAGTATTGCAACTAAGCAGACAGTGCTGCTTCTCTCTCTATCTCTCCACTTTCAACTTTAAATCTATTTAAAACTCATAACAAACAAACCAAATGTCCAAAGTTGTCCTGAAATTAACTTATTAAATAAACAAAACGAAAAATATAGCCATACTTATGCAAACAACATTGAATCTGGACTTGACATTATTCTGATTATAATTGCAAATAAGCAGACAATAAGCAGACCACACACACACACACACACACACACACACACACACACACACACACACCACACACACACACACACACACACACACACACACACAACACACACACACACACACACCACACACACACACACACACACACACACACACACACACACACACACACACACACACACACACACACACACCACACACACACACACACACACACCACACACACACACACACCACACACACACACACACACACACACACACACACACACACACACACACACACACACACACACACACACACACACACACACACACACAAGCTAGCTAGAGGAACGTTGCTAGCGCAGCTAACGTGCACGTTAGCTAGCATTATCCAGGGGCGGACTGGGACTAAAATTCAGCCCTGGAAACTGACCCAGTCCGGCCACATGAAATGTCAAATGTTAGAAATCCGCTGTTTATTATTTAAAGTTTTATGTCCGATTTGCTCCTTTTTTCATCTCAGTACACAGCTCCAGTTTGGGCATTGGCCTGTCATCAGATTTAATTTTTAGTTGCTGCTGTAGCGGAAGTTTAGTAAAATTATTTTTGTTGAAATACTCCACCCTCCATAATTGCACTTGCTTCAGTTGCTTGCTAGTTTTTAAGGGCAGTGATGACAGTTACAGTACGAACTGAAGTTGATGCGATTTGGTTGGATTGTGAGGCATGACGTGAGCCTCATCTGATTGGTCAATCCCTCCATTTTTTTTCACCAAGGGAAGCCAATTTCGGCTGGCCTCCTCTCACAACAGAGTGCAATCTACTGTTTCACCATAACATCTAGAGGGGCGCTGTTTCACTCTTTGTAAAATACTCAATGAGAATGGGGGAGAGACGGGCCGGCAGCATAATTACCGAAACTAAACGAAGTGTTTTTATGTATTTATTAATATTATAACTACAATACAAAAAACAGGGGAAGCCTGGCTTCCCTTGGCCTCCAGGAGAAAACGCCACTGAGTTCAAGGGATAATTCTCACCCACCTCTTGCTCTTGCCCTGCACTTGTATGTGCCAGTTGAGCTGGTTCTTCCACCAGCTCAACTCTGTCCCTCATCATGAACGCAGGAGGCTGGCTGTATATCTGAACTCGCGCCCACATCATTCTCTTCATCATCTTGCACTTGTTCTAAGCTGCTGCTGCTGATAGTGCTTGTAGCAGCGCTGCTGCCAAAAAGGTCTGTCAATTTGCCACATTTATATGCTTCACCTGCGAGTGACTTCATCTTTTTTTCTCTTGCCTTCTCGGCCCCACCTTTTTCTTTTCGTTTTCTTTGATTTTTAACCATGTTTTTTCATTCTCCCTGTCTGCGGTGGCGTCTAATCCCTTCTCTTCATGTGGCCGGTCTTTTTTCTTCTTCGTGTGTGATTATTTGACATAAAAACCACACAACTGCATTAGCGGCCGCTGTCGCCCTCTGTCGGCTGTCAGCGCAATTTAAATGATGACGTTAAACCTTTTTTTTTTAAGTGCCGGCCGTCAACGGCGCTTGACGACCGACCGTTCTGTGGTTCTCCAGATTCTACAGATGGCCAGTCCGCCCCTGGCATTATCCACGTCTTTAGGCGGCTCTTCTGATAGCAGCTTCACTTGTAGCTTCTGTGCTGCTAGCCTCTTTCTTCTTGTGAATTATATTCTTTTTAGAAAAGAAGTCAAGTAAAACATGTTAGCCTTTCGTTAGTGTTCTTGAGGGAAGGAGCTGCCGCAAAATCGGCGGGCGTGGCGAGCTGGCTCGCCGTGGGTGTGTCAGTGACCGCGGGGTCACGAGCGTGATGATGAATCATACTTTTTTAAGGAAATCGTTTTTATTTTTTATTATAATTACTGTGAAATGTATTATGTTTTCGTCATTATTACAACAAATACACACTTGCAACTGATAACACTGGCAATGATTTTATATTTATTAGACTTAAAAAAAAGATCATGCTCCAAATAAGTGGGGGTACGGCGCACCCCCGCGTCCAACGCCCACTACACCACTGCTCTTTCTACTCCCTTGTACATTTAGAACGCTTGATATAAGAATAATATAGTCATCGCAGCTATGAAAGATATGCTTTGCAGGCTTGGAAAGTAACTGAACACATTCGGTAATCAGGATATTGTAGTGCCGTGAAAAGAGAGTCGGAGGCGGTGTATTAAGAATGGAGTTCCAATCTTTATTATCCATTACTTTCAGAGAGGTTAACACATGCACTGCTCTGCCTGATGAGCTAGCAGGAATGGCAGCTAAAGCTACAGGTGTTCCCCACTAAAGGGTCCGTGTGGCAACACAATAAGCAAGGTGAATTATGTCCAATAACGTGTCACCACACAAGCCCCCCCAGAATTCACACATAAACAAAATCAGCATGGCGGGGAGGAACGACACGCCGACCCCCACGACTCCTGAGCACGGGAGTCGGAAAAGTGACTCCCGCCTGTGCGGCCCCCGGAAGGGGAGGGACCGGAACAACAGGTCTTAAATCCGTGACAGGGGACGAGGCCGGGGGGCGGCCCCGTCGCGGAGGTCGAGCCAGCACCACAGGCTGGTCCAAGTCCAGGTGAGCAGCCTTCACCCGGTCCACCGAGACGTGCTCGGCCTTGCCACCCAGGTCGACCACCAGGTGCTTGTCTCCGTGCTCCAAGACCCGGAAAGGCCCATCATAAGGGGGCTGCAGGGGGCCTCTGTGCGCATCGTGCCGGATGAACACGTGCTCCGCCGAGCGGAGCTCTGCGGGAACCTGGGACACCTGAGTACCGTGCTGAGTAGTAGGGATCGGAGCAAAGGCCTCAGCGGCGTCACGCAGGAAAGCCCGCTGGGCCGACGCCGACCAGGGAGCCGATGCATTTGGGAGGAAATCCCCCGGAACTCTCAGCGGCTGACCGTAGACCATCTCCGCTGTAGAACACTGCAGATCTTCCTTAGGTGCGGTCCTCAGGCCCAGCATCACCCAGGGCAGCTTGTCGACCCAGTTACCGTCCGTAAGGCTGGCCTTGAGGGCCGCCTTCATGGAGCGATGAAAGCGCTCGCAGAGGCCGTTAGCCTGAGGGTGGTAAGCGGTAGTCCTGTGCAGCTTAACCCCCAAACCG